TTTTCCCTTGTACTATAACTGACTGATCTTGTTCCTTTTTTTGGAATGAATAAGATCAAGAAGTGAATGGATGAAAAAGCCTATTATAGCCAATGTAGGAAAGATACAAGAAAAAATGTGATAAGCCTTAAGGTTGAGCAATTTTCATGATAGGCAGCCAGTAAGCACAGATGATCTTGATATATCTGGCAAAAATATTTCACTGACCGTCACTGAAAAAGAGTCCTATCTTTATGTAAAATACATTCCTCCCATTAAAAAAAAATCAAATTTGAAAAACTAAGAGTTCCTTTACCTTGATCATTAACAATCTAATTCATTCCTGGTGTTTCACATCAGAGACAGACTTAGTGAAAAGGAAAATTTGCTTACTAGGAAAGTAAGTAACCTAATTGTAGTATGTAACTTTGAATATAAATTAATTGAGTGTGGAGTGTGTAGGGAGCAGGAAGAGGATAAGAGATAAAGGATGGAATTGAGAGAAGGAGAGAAGGTAGAAGAAAAATCCTTTGATTCTACTTTACCGTTAAAAAGGAAGAAAGCATGACTTCCAGATGAACTGGCCCTAGCCTGAGACAACCCATTCCTGACACTGGTAGGACATGAAAAGATCTGTAAGGGAATCTACTTTGCACCTCCATCAAACCTGTGATCAGAGAAATAATCTTTCTGTGCAATTTTTACTTAAATTTCTTCTTTATAGAAAGGAAATGCTCTCTAGATTAAACAGAATATCATTAAAAACTGTCGAGTGATTGGCAGACTGCTTGGAATACAGCAGACACACAGCACATGTTTTCATTAGAGAAAAGAAAATCTGCTACCCTTAAAATCAACTTTTTAGCATATGCTACAGAATGTACATACATTAAAAAGTCAAAGGTTTTATATATATATATGTATATATCTACATATATATGCATAATTTTGAATTTCAGTAATATACATAAAGAGCCAAAAGTATATGTCCTTTTCTTTTAAAAAATGATCATACACATAGAAGTGAAACCTTTATAAGAAGGTCTATATTTTGGGTACATTGTCTCCTGCAATATAGATTTACTGAGTGACCATGTACTATCACCCAAGGACTGGGCCAGACTCATAGTTCTTTCTCTCCTGCAAGATAGAAGGTGGTTTATGTCAACAGAAAGAGAGAAAATAAAGTACTGATTGTTGCAGGGAAAGAGAGAAAGAACTCAACTGGTGGGAGATCAAAAAAGGGGATTATAGGGATTCCCTGGAAGTCCAGTGGTTAGTACTCAGGCTTTCACTGAGTAACACATGAACACCCACAAAAGTTGCCTAGAATTAAGAAGGTGGCCTTTGCTTCAAAGACCCTCTGTCAATAATCCTCATTCATCCTTTTGGTGGGTGCTGCTCTTGCTCCTGCCAAAGGCCTAAGGATTGTGAAAGGCATGAGCTTTCATCTGTGAGTTGAACCAGTCAGTTAAGAGAATTAATGTCACTCTATGTAACACTGAGAAACTCAGTGAAGCAGTTGCTTTATCTAAAGTCCAGAGTAATAAAGTATTATGGATAATTAAATAAATCTTATCCTTTGCATTTCTTTTGTGATTAAATTTGAGACAATATGTTTTTGCTATCTGGAGAGATCAATGATAGAATAGTTAATTACTTTCTTTAGGAACCATCACTCTATTACTGTTAAATTCATTCTATTGTCATTTGCATAAATTGAATTATGTGCACTGCTTAAATACATTTACATGTTTTTCTCCAGTTCAAATGCCATTTGCTTTACTGCCTTCTTCATATTTCCCAACCTTCCTGCTCTCATTCCCTCTAATGTTAAAATTGGGTAGGGACACACACACACACACACACACACACAAGACAGGTTAAAATATAACTCAAGACACAGGAAGAGCAGGAAGATGTCTGAAAAGTACAGCTCGAGAACCAGAGAATAGTTTCTGATAGCATCATCATCAAACCTGGCATCTTAAAAGTATAAGGGTAAATTCATACATACACACACACACACATATACATACACACACACAGATAGATATATATATATAGAGAGAGAGAGCACGCACGCGAGCAAAAGCGAGCTAGGCACGAGCTGTGGGATCAGAGGAGAAATAACTGGAGATAATTTATACATGTCCTAAACTTCTAAAGAGTTAATCATCAGCTAAGAAAGTATGGTGTTTTATTTAATGTTTGTAAAGATCATTTCACAGTATAACTTAACTCCTGGCTAATTACTTGTAATAAGCCAGAGAATAATGAAAAATACTGCCTCTGTCCAAATAATGCAGATATTTTAAAAATCTAGGGATTTTTCTTATTGCTCATTTCATTTTTATTTGTTAACAAATAAAATACATCAACTAAATGAAATTCAGAAAGATGGGACACCATATATGAAGTAATAGACTATTTCACTACTACAACATTCACTAAATATAAACTTTTAAATTATAAAAGTAGTTCATACATGCAAAAAGAACTACAAGTGGTCAATTAAGATATAAAAGTTTGTGAACACTATTTTTGGCCTATCAAAATGAAAAATACCAAGGACCTAGAAGGCTGGCAGTCTTGCAAGGCAATTTGGTACACAGTGCAAACAACCAAACAAATTTAAACTCTGAATCTGCGATCTGCTTCCAGGAATTTATCAGAAGGGGATAATTAAATACACACACTTATGTATGAAGATGTAGGTACAACCTAAATGTACATTTATAAAGAACAGGCTCAATAAATTCAGGTCCTCTACATAAGGGAACACCAGCAATATTTTAATGTAATGATTCAATTCTGTGTTTATTGGTTTGAAAATTGTTCTCAATATATTGTAATTGGAAACAATTCAAAAGCAGATGTCAAAAAATATACATGGTATAATGCAAGTTTTCTGCTTGATAGGAAAAGATAGAAAGAATAAAATTATGGGAGTAAAGTGGTAAGATTATGGGTGTATACTTTATTTTTTTCTAATTTTCTGTCTATATTTCACTTATAAGAAGGGGAAATAACAATTCCCTTTTATTAAAAATAAGATACAATATTAGCCATAATTAGAAAGTGGAAAGGAACTAAAGAGCCTCTTGATGAAAGTGAAAAAGGAAAGTGAAAAAGTTGGCTTAAAACTCAACATTCAGAAAACTAAGATAATGACATCTGGTCCTATCACTTCATGGCAAATAGAAGGGGAAACAGTGGAAATAGTGACAGACTTTATTTTCTTGGGCTCCAATGCTTTGCCCACCTGATGAGAAAAATTGACCTAGTGGAAAAGACCCTGATGCTGAGAAAGATTGAAGGCAGGAACTGGGGATGACAGAGGATGAGACAGTTGGATGGCATCCCCGACTAGAAGGACATGAGCTTGAGCAAGCTCCGGGAGTTGGTGATGGACAGGGAACCCTGGCGTGCTGCAGTCAATGGGGTTACAAAGAGTTGGACACAACCAAGTGGCTGAACTGAACTGAATCAACGGCCTTCCTGCTGGGTTCAGCCAATTAACAGATAACTGGGAGGAGGGCAGAAGGAAGAGAGAAGCCATGGTACTTTTTATTCTGCTTTCAGTGGTGCCTCTGGCTGAGGTTACATCCCGCACCAAACCAATTGTGTATGCAGAAAGTTCCAACTTTCACTGAGTTTCCCCAACTCATTCTGTCTCTCCAGCCTAGGTTTAGTAATGACTCCATTCTGCTGTTCATCTGTTGGCTGTCTCAGTGTCCCCAGATTGGCTTCTCAGTTTTTCATCTCTGTTGAAATTATTTCCCTAGTTTAAATGCCCTCTCTTTTAAATATTCAGGGAGTTTTCTGCTGTGGTTGGATCCCAATTGATACACTCCCTCATTATAAGACAAGGTTGTATCTTTCACTCAATTCACTATAAACAATTGACATTGAGAAATACCATGGAAATTGTTAGTTTCTTCATTTGACAGAGACATAGAAAGACATAGAAAACAAATGACCATGAGTCATTGAGATGTGATGTTCAGAAAGAATATTTCACCAGCATCAGTGCATGTGATTAAATGATGAATCTGCAGTTGGCATGCTCCCTAGAAGATCCCTATAAATGCACATGTGCTAACATATTGATGGTAATAAGTTGGTGTAACCCAAAAGGAATATCCTTATGACCTAATATCCTTTTTTCTCGATTACCTACATACAACAAAAATGTTTAACTTAGGATTAGTCTTTATTACCAAGTATGGAAGACACAAGTGAACGCTAATAATTACTCTTCCCTTCCAGTTCCTCACCTCTGTAAATATGTCAACTAGGAAACCCTTTACAATTCAACATATATGTTTATGATAGGATAAGCAAAATTTAACTTACCCATTTGTCATATGATTTGAGTGGAGCTTTTCCCAAGAACTCAGAATTAAAGCCTGATAAGAATATTTTATAATTTAACTTATAAATAACACATTCTGGCTAAAGAGGTCATAGGCAGAAAATTACCTTAAAAGAGAAATGACCTTTAACAACTGCCTGATATATGCAACCCTATGTGTTTCAATAAAAATACTCATTGGGAAGCTCAGTGATGCAGGGGACCAAATACTACCAGTGCTTGCCTACCTCCTGACAGTTATTTCAGTCCATAAAGCACATTTATTTTATTCTGATGTCATTAAAAATTTCAATCATATGGCTAATGCCCTAGCTTTTATTACATGTACATCCAGCAATCTTGCATCACAATTTGCCCTACCTGGGATTTCCGAAGAGGGAGAAAATATAGTGGCTCAGGTCTTTTAGTCTCTACAGTGGTTATGATTCTTATCATTGATTATTAAAGCAGCATCATAAATTTGTATTATAGTATCATAAATCTGAAACCATGCATCCCCCTCTGTGAAGGGGTTGTGGTAAGTTATGTCTCTCAGCTTGCCAGACTAACTTTAAACCACGGAAACATCACCAGTAGAATATTCCCTGTAAGACAACTTTCCCAGGAGATGCATCCCACCAACATCCATTTTTTGCACACCTACCTGAAAGACTTCTTAATATCTTCTGCTTGGATTGTCTTGAGAATCTCCTGGTATAACTGAAGATCAAGTGTTCCTGAAGATGTAGCATTTGAAGGGCAATTTTTACGTGAGTAATAGCCTATCAAGATTCCAGAAATAAATAAAATGATTGCCGTGCAAAATATTTTTAAAAGGCGGCAAAAGTTGCAGGAGTTGCTCTTTGGTGCAGATCTTGTATAATGGGTCACATAGTCAGATTCTTCTTGAAGTCTCTGAAACCTTCCTTTGGGTGAAGTTGCTGGTTGAATGGGATCAAGATTGAGGTCTGCAGTCTCTGAATTTTCCAGGTTCTGATGCTCAGCACTATTTAGCTGGAACTGGTCAAAACCAGGCTCCTCCAGTTCCTTTTCCATGTCCCACTCTAAGTCAAGTGCAGTGGCTTGGAGGTCATCATTGTCTAAGTACTGTGAATGTCCTGGAGCTCTTTGATCAGCACCGACCTTCTGATAGGCCATTTTTTTACCTGTGAAAATAAGAGAAGTATATTTTCTGAAAATGAATCAACAAAGACAACCACCAAGATGAAAACAAAACAGTAATCTAGATCACGTTCTAAGTCGCTTCAGTCACATCCGACTCTTTGCAATCCTTATGGACCACAGCCTGCCAGGCTCCTCTGTCCATGGGATTCTCCAGGCAAGAAAACTGGAGTGGGTTTGTCATGCCTACCTCTGGGGCAGTCTTCTGAATCCAAATTAGCTGTTTAGAAAATTGTAATGATTATGAGTAGGGGAAATACATCATTTCTGTAGTATGCATATGTGCATGCATGCATGCTCAGTCATGTTCAACTCTTTGGGACCACGTGGACTGTAGCCCTCCAGGCTTCTCTGTCCCTGGGATTTCCCAGGCAAAAATATGGGAGTGGGTTGTCATTTCCTCCTCCAGGGAATCTTCCCAACCAAGGAATCAAACCCGCATCTCTTACACTTCCTGAATTGGCAGTCAGATTCTTTACTGCTGAGCCACTGGGGAAGCCCCCCTAAAGAAAACCATTCAATAATAATTTAATCTTATACTGTGCTGTTGATGTTTACTATAGCAGGAAAGACAGCAAATAAAAATAGAAGGCACTTGATGAAAACTATGAGAAAACATAATACACACACACACTTCCTCTGAAGCTCAGGAGAATAAAACTCAAATGCACAACTGCATTAAAGATAATATATGTAATGGAGAAAAAGTGTAAACTTTTTTTTCAAGGTCACTTTTAAGAAAAACTGAGAACAGAAGCAATAATGATGTGACTTTTTAAGTTAAGATGAGGTGGGAGGGGGGAAGACCCTGGGATCAGTTACATTACCAGAGCTCACTTTATTTTTTTATTTTTTTATTTATTTTTGTTTGTTTATTGGTTTTCTTTTTTTTCTTTTATTTATTTATTTATTTATTTATTTATTTTTTTATCACAACCATAGTGTATCTTTTTTTTTTACATGTATTCCCCATCCCAGTCCCCCCTCCCACCTCCCTCTCCACCCAATCCCTCTGGGTCTTCCCAGTGCACCAGGCCCGAGCACTTGTCTCATGCACCCAACCTGGGCTGGTGAACTGTTTCACCCTAGATAATATACGTGTTTCAATGCTGTTCTCTTGAAACATCCCACCCTCGCCTTCTCCCAGAGTCCACAAGTCTGTTCTATACATAGGAGTCTCTTTTTCTGTTTTGCACATAGGGTTATCGTTACCATCTTTCTAAATTCCATATATATGTGTTAGTATACTGTAATGGTCTTTATCTTTCTGGCTTACTTCGCTCTGTATAATGGGCTCCAGTTTCATCCATCTCATTAGAACTGATTCAAATGAATTCTTTTTAATGGCTGAGTAATATTCCATGGTGTATATGTACCACAGCTTCCTCATCCATTCGTCTGCTGATGGGCATCTAGGTTGCTTCCATGTCCTGGCTATTATAAACAGTGCTGCGATGAACATTGGGGTACACGTGTCTCTTTCAGACCTGGTTTCCTCGGTGTGTATGCCCAGAAGTGGGATTGCTGGGTCATGTGGCAGTTCTATTTCCAGCTTTTTAAGAAATCTCCACACTGTTTTCCATAGTGGCTGTACTAATTTGCATTCCCACCAACAGTGTAAGAGGGTTCCCTTTTCTCCACACCCTCTCCAGCATTTATTGCTTGTAGACTTTTGGATAGCAGCCATCCTGACTGGTGTGTAATGGTACCTCATTGTGGTTTTGATTTGCATTTCTCTGATAATGAGTGATGTTGAGCATCTTTTCATGTGTTTGTTAGCCATCTGTATGTCTTCCTTGGAGAAATGTCTGTTTAGTTCTTTGGCCCATTTTTTGATTGGGTCATTTATTTTTCTGGAGTTGAGCTGGAGGAGTTGCTTGTATATTTTTGAGATTAATCCTTTGTCTGTTGCTTCGTTTGCTATTATTTTCTCCCAATCTGAGGGCTGTCTTTTCACCTTGCTTATAGTTTCCTTTGTTGTGCAAAAGCTTTTAAGTTTCATTAGGAAGGAATCCAGATAGGAAAAGAAGAAGTGAAACTCTCGCTGTTTGCAGATGACATGATCCTCTACATAGAAAATCCTAAAGACTCTACCAGAAAATTACTAGAGATAATCAACGAATACAGTAAAGTTTCAGGATATAAAATTAACACACAGAAATCTCTTGCATTCCTATACACTAACAATGAGAAAACAGAAAGAGAAATTAAGGAAACAATACCATTCACCATTGCAACAAAAAGAATAAAATACTTAGGAGTATATCTACCTAAAGAAACAAAAGACCTATACATAGAAAACTATAAAACACTGATGAAAGAAATCAAAGAGGACACAAACAGATGGAGAAATATACCGTGTTCATGGATTGGAAGAATCAATATTGTCAAAATGGCTATACTACCCAAAGCAATCTACAGATTCAATGCAATCCCTATCAAACTACCAACGGTATTTTTCACAGAACTAGAACGAATAATTTCAGAGCTCACTTTAAAAACCTAAGTTTAGGGTAAGAATGAGAACAGTAAAATGAAGAAGCACCTCTACAGAAATTCAAGAAGCAAAAATACAGTGTTTTGCCTACTCATGAGTTATCAAAATGATTGGAAAACCTTAACACTACCATAGAAAGCTAACATGTTCCCTGGGATTAGTGACATGAATTGGCCTGGCTCACTGAACTTTAAATAAAGTCTGGGATGGCACCTATCCAAACAAGGAAGACTTTTGCCAGGATAGGAGGGTTTAGTTCATAACCTTGCTACAGAGTGGCAGATGGAGGCTCTTCTCCCCTACCCAGTTCTGGATGACAGTGTGCTGTATCCTGCAGAGTGGTATTAGGATAACTGGGCTAATTAACTACAAGTGGTCTTCAGTCTGTATTCAGGAACACACTGGTGTATTGTGGTTGCAGATTAAGAGTATTTATACTTAAATTTTCTGTGTGTTAGATTTGTCATCCCAGCTGGATTGTTAGGTCTTGCACTATGTTTTATGATTTTTCTATGTGCCCCACTGTGGTGGGTGCAAAACAGAAGACAGCTGACAACTGATTTCCTAAATGCCTTAGGGCCAGTTGTGAACAAGTGAACTCTAATGAAAAAGATACGAAGGCTTCATGAGAGAGTGGCATTATGTACAGAATTATGAGTATACACAATTTCAATCCTGGCTGGCAGATGTCCACATACATTAAAACGTCCTGAATGTTTAAGACAGTTCAAGTAGCATTAAATATTAACTTTACAATATAAAAATTTTAACTCTGATTAGATTTCTCATCTGCTACCATATCATCTAGGATTTCTTCTTGTCCAGAGCTGACTCAATAAAGATGAGTATCTAATATATGTCAGGTACTGGGATAGGCAGTGAAAACAAAGATGAATGGGTCCCTATTCCTCAAGTAGGGAATGATTCAAAAATAGCAACAGGCATTTGAACAAAAAAGTCAGTCACATAACAAATACAAAATGCAAGGGAGACTCAGTGGTGATGGATTCTAGCAGGAAATGTGGGAAATGACTCTCTTCATTTCTAACTGGAGAGAAAAGAGGACTGCTACTGGAGAGAAGGGAGAAGTTAAACTAGGGCAGACAAGGGGTGTGAGAGGAGAGCAGCTAGGCAGGGGTGAAATATGTAAACACACAGATAAATACGAGTGCATGGTACATGGACCACTTGATAAATCCAGACTGGTGTGCTATGACAGAGGACGGAGCACCAGAGCCTGAGTTGGAGAAAAAGACAAGAAAGGGTAATTGTGGGCAAAAGGCTTACCTTCTCTGCAACTCAGGGTCTTCATTTGTGAAAACGGGCATGGTAGTAACATAAACCTCATAGTACCGTCAATAGAATTAACTGAGATAGTGAACCTAAAACACCAATTTCATGTCATACAGGCTGTATGGGTTTGAAGGGCCATTTCTTATATTAGAAGAGGGAGGGCTATCAAGGATTGTTGAAAGAAATATAATGAGTTAGATAATACAGAATACGTAATTCTTCACGACATTGTGGAAAAGGGAAGAGGCTGCATATGCTCATGCATGTACAGTTAACACATGATACTTGTTTTACAGTTAGTCTCTATGTAGACTGAGGTCTTTTATTAAGTGTCACATGACATACTAATTGTTATGCAGGTGCTTAATTGGTACTGTGTATTAGAACAGCGTCAAGAGGGACTCTTTTCTTCCCCTCCCTCTTCTGTTCTGCCTCCTTCCCTCTCCCCTTTTACTGCTTGACCTGGTTTTATGATTTAAAAAAAAAATGCAGTATTTTAATTCTGTCTTTGGTCACATCAAGACAAGCAGAGAAATGGAATGATTATGGAGTTAGTGATAATTATTGACAGGTTAGGAGATGGTTATAGTTGGTTTAAAAAAAAAAAAACAGCGTGAGACATTACTAGAGAACAGGAAAAACCTGAAGGCAGTAGAAATAAAGTATCTTTAAAATCTATGATTCTAACCTCTTTCATATTACACAAGAGGAAGCTTATGTCCAATGCTGAATCATTCTTTTGGCTGAGAAAAGTGATATTTGGGGGACACATTTCAGGTGATTTGTGGTTTTATAAAACTATGAGATTAATGTTAGTGATTAATAAGCTGTGGTGTCAAAAACCCCACAATCCATTTTTTAATGTACACTGCAAAATACTACAGTTTCTAGCAGTAATCAAATTTTTTTCTTATTTGACTTATCTTGACATATGATTACTTACTTCTTTAATAGTGCAGTTTATGCATTATTGATTTATTTAGACACTGTTTCAATATAGTTTTCTAGATTTTTTTTTCCTCTAATTTTAATGAATCAGAGTGTCTCTAATAGTTTTCTTTAAAAATACTGAATTGTAGACTGTGGTTTATGCTCAAGGAAGATTTTGGCACACAGAACTTACTACAGAAATGTGAGATCTCTAATTCTGACCTCTAATACAAACATTCAAAGTCATTTCTCTACAAATCATTTACAAACCAACTGCAGTGATGAGGAAG